AACCTTGTACTCTGTTTTTACATCATGTGCTATGTTGATCCTTGGTTTTGACTGACAGCTTTGTTTTGCCATATTTGACTTTATTCTCTTCCAAAAAAAAAAAGTAATAAGAACTATGGAGCAATAAAACCCAAAATGTGTAAATTTTGTTGTAAAAAAGAGAGGAAAAAAAGGTGCTCTAAAGGATACAACTGCAAGTGTGTTTTAGGGGTGTTAAATAGATGACTATATTATTGTTTTTGGTTGGATCACTGAACACAACTGTTTGCAGTCTCACTGATTGAATGTCCACTTTGTATGCTTTGATCCTGTGACTTGAGCAACTATCTCTAAGATGATAATGTGTAATCTATTAACTGGTGATTTCTTTTTTTTTTTTTTTTTTTTTGTAGTTCTGTATTACTTGTACCCTTACATTGTTTTGTTTTTTCTCTTTTTCCTTTTAAATAAAATTTAAAACAAAACAAAAAAAACCCCACACAAGCTAGTTATTCATGAGAGACATCTCTGAGAAGCAGTCATTTCCTAAGGGTTCTAAATACTATCAATACAGATATATACCATAAGCAATTTACAAGCACCAACCCAGGAATTAAACTTTAGAAAGTTAGAAAATGAGAAGACACTCAACTAGGATGCAACTCCAGGCTTCTGGCTCACCAGAGGCAAACCCAGGGAGCAATGAGGTGGAACAATCTGAAAGCCACCCACCTGGACTCTGAAGTAGCAACAACAGAAATAACAAAGCAAATGACTGAGACTCTACAAAAATTAGAAATAATTTATTACATAACGACTGAGAGCGTGACTATAATGAAAGAAATGCTTTGTGACTCTGGAGCAGATATAGATTAAAAAACAATAGAGGACTTTAATAAAATAATGGAACTCATGAATGTCCAACATAGGAAAGAAATGTAATTCATGAAACAGATTCAAACAGATATGCAGAAGATTAAAAATTCCACTGAAGATATACCCAGCAGAATGAGACAATGTAGGGGCAGAATATCAGACATAGAAGACAGGACTAAAGTTAGCATGAAAAGAAAGACTTCTTAAATAGTAAGAACTGTGAAAAATCAATCTAACAGCTGATAGATGATGCAAAGAAGACAATGTAAGATTGAGCAGAGTCAATGAAAAAGGAGATTGTCATGGTTTATGTCGGTGGCCCCCAGGCCTCATGTGTTTGCATTATGCATTTGTGATTGGTTCATTATCTAGAGTTTGGATTGATGGTGTCAGCACTACACCCACATAGGGGTGGAGCCAGCATACAATGTTATGGCAGGAAGAAAGTGTCTCTCTCTCTTGCCGGTTTCCACCTTTCTGTTTGCAGCCACCATGAACTGTGGCCCAGCCATGCCACCCTGCCTTGGAGCCAACTGAATATAGATTGAAACCTCCAAAAGCTGTAAGAAATAAACCTTTCCTTTCCCACCTTTGTGGTCATCAGCTTTTGTCTCAGCAATGAGTAAAAAGTAACTAAGACAGAGATACTTCAGATGACCTTTAAAAACAAAACAAAAACAAACAAAAATCTATTCCCAGAAGTAATACCAGAAAACATAAGTAGGGGGGGAAATCTGACATATAGATAACTGAGGCATATACAGCTTCAATTAGCCATGATTTAAAAAAAAAAATGTAGCAAGTCAAGATTCCAGAATTCAACATAAGAACAGGACATTCAAAGCTGTTAGAGAAAAGCAACAAACCCTCTATACAGGAAAGTCCATCAAAATCACAAGACTTCTCAACACAAACCCTCAGGTCAAGGATACCCAGGAGTGAAGTATTTCAAGCCCTAAAAGAAAATAATCTTCAACCCAGATTGATTTGTCCTGAAAAATTATCTTTCAAAATTGATTGAGAAATAATATACTTCTATAAGAAAGAACACCTGAAAAAATTTATGATCAGCCAGGGATTTAGCTCAGCAATGTATGCCTGCCTGGTAAGCACAAGGTCATGAGTTCAATGCCCAGTACAAAAAAAAAAAAAATCTCTATAAAACTTTAGCCAGGGGTATAGCTCAGCAGCACAAGTGCTTGCCTGTTGTGAGGTCATGAGTTTAATCCCCAGTACAAAAAAAATTTTTTCATGCTCACCAAACCACCATTCTCTGTTCTCAAGACCATTCTAAAAAAAGATAATTACAACTCCATGAACCCCAACAGAATGAATCCACCAGACTAGGAAAGCAATTAAAAGAAAGGGGAAAGAATAGAAACCAATAACAGGAAAGTAACATGACAAGGATAAGTCCATGTATATCAGTTATTACCATCAATATTAATGATTGAAATAACCAAATGATTGAAAAAACCAAAAGAAACAGACTGGCAGAACGGATCAAGAAAAAGATCTAACAGTACACTGTACTCAAGCAACACATTTAATTCAAAAAGTAATTCATAGACTGAAGTTCAAAGAATGGAAAACAATACCTCATACAACAGGAACCTAGAAAACAGCAGCGGTAGCTATTCTATTTGCAGACAAAGTGGATTTCAAGCCAAGATTGACATTTGTTATGAATTAAAAACTGGTGGTCAACTTAATGCCAGCTGAATTAAATCAGCATGATGCTGAGTGTAGATGTTCCACCAGAGGAAAGTTGCCAGCATAAATACAGATGTGGAGATGAAGCTAGGTGTTATGGGTTCTCCTACGTGTTGCTGTTTGAGCCATTGGTTCTCCTTGGAGGAGTTCATCATGATGAACTTCCCCAGGGTGAGTTCAACCATTATCATCAGAGGCACTCAGGACCTTGTTGGTGAAAGTGGCTGTCATTTGCTGTGGGGGAGCTCTGGTCCTTACATCGAGCATCACTTCCTGGCTCTGGAGGGGAAGACGTATGCCATTTAATCTCCAAGACAAACTTATCACACTGGCTCCTGACATGTACTTGACTGTGCTTATCATCGGAGCTTGGGACCTCCATGTCACTGAGGATGACTGTGGTGCTTTTCAGGACAGGATCTTTACTATGAGTGTGACTTCTTGGCTCCAGTGTAGAACCTTCAACCTACCAGCACAGCTCCTTCACACAGCTGGCATAGGTTTGCTATGTCACCACTGACCTTCGGGGCTTCCCAGCATGTATCCGTAAAACAGACTGGCATGAGTCCTTTTTGTGGGCTCTAGATCTCCAGTTGTACTTGTGGGAGGCATTATCATGGACTCTAGGTCTTCATCTAGACTCATGCAAGACATTGCTGTGGAATTCAGAACCTTGGCTGAATATTCTTATGTCTTTAGTATGTGGATAGATTTCCTGCACTTTCTTGTGTTAACTCTGGGTAACTATCATAAAATAATATTATAAATTCTGTGTCTTGATTCTAATTGTTCTCCTTACAACCTCTGACTATAACAACATCCTTGTAAAGAGAACAATCCAAGAGGAAGAGATAACAAAAATATATGTGCATCAAATATCAGCACATCCAATTACATAAATATTAACAGAAATAAAAAATCAAATCAGCATTAATAAGATTGTAATGGAGGCCCTCAAAATTCCACTGTCACAAATAAATCAACTAGACAAAAAATCAAAACGAAATATCAGAACTGAAACAAACTTTTGAACATGGGGATTTAGTAGATGTTTAGAAAGTGTTCCAGCCCACAACATCAAAGTACACATTCTTCTTAGCTACACGTGGGTCTCCAAAATAGACAATATACTAGCCCACAGAACATGCTTAAGTAAATGCAAAGGAACTGAAATTACCCCATGCATATTATACATATAAGCAGACCACAATGCAACTGGAAATCAATGGCAAAAAAAACCACAAGAAATTTAAAAACACATGAAAATTAAATAACACCTTCCTGAAGAACCAAAAGATCACAGATGAAATTAAAGAAGAAATTAGACAACTAAATGCTAATGCCAGTACAACACACCGGAACTTTTGGTATGCAGTGAAAGCAGTCCTATGGAGGAAATTTATAGTAGAGTATTCCCATATGAGAAAAACAGCAATCTCAAACAACCTACTATTGATCCTCAAGCAACTTGCAAACAAAGAGGAAGTCATGCCCAAATATCACACGAGGGAGGAAATTATAATATCAGAGAAAAAATTAACTAAATGGAGACTAAGAAAATAAAACAGTCAATCAATGATCAAAGAGTTGGTTCTTTAAAACACCAAGTAAAATTCTAAACCCTTAGCCAATCTTATCAAAAAAGGAAACAATAGACTCATATCAATGGATTAGGAACAAAAAGGGTGAAATCACAACAGATCCTGCAGAAATCCACAAGATCATCAATACCTTCTTCAAGAACCTCCGCTGTAATAGGATGGAAAATGCAGAAGAAATGTACAGACTCCTAGATACATAAGAATTACCAAAGCTGAATCAAGAAGACACAAAAATTCTAAACAATCCATATCAATCAATGAAATTTAAGATGTAATTAGAAACCTAAAAACAAAGAAGAGCCCAGGCTCTGATGGATTAACTGCTGAATACTACAGGAAATTTAGAGATCTAATACTATTTCTCAAACTTTTTAATTAAATTGAAATGGAAACAATACTCCCAAATTCATTCTTGGACACAAGCATTATCCTGAGAGTGAAATTAAAGAAGGACTCAAACAAGAAACAGAACTACAAGCCAGTCTCCCTAATGAACACAGATAGAAAAATCCTCAGTAAGACACTAGCAAACAGAATGCAGCAGATCATTGAGGGTATACATGAAATAGGGTTCATCCCAGGAATGCTGGGATGGTTCAACACACACAAATCAATAAATGTCATATACCAAACTAACAGCGCCAAGGACAAAACCATATGACCCTCTCAACAGATGCAGAAAAAGCATTTAACAAAGTCCATACTCATTCATAATAAAAACCCTACAGAAAATCAGAATAGATGGTCTCTACCTCAATCTAAAAAAATCCAACAGCCAACATCATATTAAGTGGACAAAACCTGAAAGTTTTCACTCTAAAACCAGGAACAGTGCTCACTTCAGCAGCACATACACTAAAATTGGAATGATACAGAGAAGATCAGCATGGCTCCCATGCAAGCATGACACGCAAATTCACGAAGCAGTCCATATTTTTATTTTTTTTGAAATTCTGTTATAATTTCTATCCTTTTTTGTTTTGCTTCTTTTTAATAAAAAAAATAAAATCAGGAACAAGACATTGTCACCATTCCTATTCGATATAGTTCTAGAAATACTAGGCAATTAGGCAAGAGAAAGAAAAGGAATAAGGAAAGGAAAAGTTAAATTATCATTATTTGCAAATGACATGATGCTCTACATAGATGACACCAAGAACTCCACCAAAAGACTTCTAGATATAATAACCAAATTCAGGAGTGTAGCTGGACACAAATTCAGCACTCAATAGCCTTCCTGTACATAAGCAATAAACTCAGAAAGAGAGAAATTGAGGAAACAATACCTTTTATAATAGCACCCAAAATAAAGAAATACCTAGGAATCAATGTAACATAGGAAGTAAAACGTCACTGAAAACTACAGCACTCTGAAAGAAGACTGAAGAGGATAGCAGAAAATGGAAAGACAGCCCTTATTCTTGGGTGGGAAGAATTAATATCACAGAATTAACTTCCAAAATTACTATACAAATTGAATGCAATCCTTATCAAAATACCAAGAGTATATTTCACAGAACTAGAGAAAACATTCCTAAAATTCACTTGGAACCAAACAAGACCTAGAATAGCAAAAGCAATTCTGTGCAACAAAGGCAAGTCTAGGGCATCACAATTCCTGACTTGAAATTATACTACAAAGCTACTATGATAAAAATAGCATAGTACTGGCAAAAAACACAGACATGAGGATCAATGGAACAGAATAGAAGGTTCAGAAACAACTTCAGACAGATTTAGTCACATTATGTTTGACAAAGGTTCCAAACACTTTCACTGGAATTAAGCCTCTTTAATAAATGGTGCTGGAAATACTGGCTTTCCACATGCTGAAGATTAAAACTAGATCCATTACCAGGCAGGGTGGCTCATGCCCACAATCCCAGCACTCAGGAGGCTGAGGCACAAAGATTCCCTTAAGTTGGAGGCCAGCCAGGCTTCACAGTGAGTTTAAGGCCAGCCTAAATGACATAGTCAGATTCTGTCTCAGAAAGCACAAACAAAAAATTAGACCCATATCTTTCCCCATGCACTAACTAAAATCAAAATGGGTCAAAGATTTAAATATTAAAACAGAAACTGGGACGGGGGGGGGGACAGAAACACTAAATCTGCTAGAAGATGGAATAGGTAGAACTCTTAAAGACATGGCTATAGGCAAAGACCTTATGAACAAAACCCCAATTACACAGGAAATATCACAAAGAATCAACAACTAGAACGTCCTCTTATTTTAAAGCTTTTGCACAGCAAGAGAAACCAACAGAGTGAAGAGACAACCGGTAGTGTAGGAAAAAATTTTACCCACTGTGCTTCAGACAAAGGACTAATATCTAGAATATATAAAGAATTCAAAGTTACCACACTCTTCAAATTTAAAAAACCAGTCCAAAAACGAGCATCTAAAATGTATAGACACATCTCAGATGAAGTCGAAGAAATGGTAAATAAATGTATGAAAAAAGTTCAACATCACTGGTTGAGAGATGCAAGTTAAAACAACACTGAGTTTCCATCTCACTTCAGAGAGAATGGCTGGCGTCAAGAAATCAAACGAAACACGCTGGTGGAGCTGTAGGGGAAAACGAACCCTTCCACCACCGTTGGTGGGAGTGTAGACTGGTGCAAACAATGAGGAAAGAGTGAGGAGATTCCTTTACAAACTAAAGTTAGAGGTTCCATGTGACCCAGTTATTCCCCTTGTGGGTATCTTCCCGAAAAAACTAAAACCATCACACCATAGTGATATACACGCACTCATGTTTATTAGCAGTTTTTAATGGCTAAATCTTAGAACAACCCAAATGCCCATCAATCAAGGAATGAATAAAGAAGATGTAGGGTTTTTTATACAATAGAATACTATTCTGTCATACAGAAGAATAAGCTTGAGATATTTCTAGCTAAACGTTTTGTATGCATCTTGATACCATACTCTTAAGCGAAATAAATCAGACACACGTGTAAATATCACATTGCTTCTCCGGTGTGATAAGCCAAGAGTAAATAAGCACCAAAACGTATAATAGATCTGGAGAAATGGAAAGAAAATGTCCAAATTTAAAGGGGCAGACGGAGGGGAGAGAGGCCAAGGGAAAAAAGGGGCAAGAGACAAAAAAGAGAACAGATGGTAAGTCCAGGGCAAGAGGATTGTAAGTCTACGCCCAGTCTTGGAAAGTTACCCTCTCAAAAAAAAAAAAAAAAAAAAAAAAAAAAAAAAAAAAAAAAAAAAAAAAACCAGTGCTGGGGATAAGTATAACCAGTGTCAGAACAAGAATAATTTTATTAATTCTAAAATTTTGTCAGCTGCAAAAAAGGGATAGAAAAACACACATATTTTTGTAAAACAAGGGCAGTTTTCCAGATGTTATTTAAAATGGCTTAGGAAAAGATACATTCAGTTCAGGTAAATGAAACTTTTGCTAATAAATTCTTAATTTAGACAGACTTCTGTTAACAGCAAATGCAATGAAGTTAAAGTGCAGACTCTCGGTCGCCACAAGCCAACTCCTACGGGGATGCGGTTCTAGCAGCTATGAAGACCACACTGACAGGGAAACACAATCAGCGCCCTTTTTTCCAGCAGTGCACGTCTCAGGTTACAGGGCTCTCCTCTGCAGCTTCCGCAGCCTCACCAAACGCTGGATTCCCCCCTAGAGAGGACGCCACATATTCTCTCGAGTGACTGGAAGGCGACAAGGTTGCTGGGCAAATAATCACCGCTATCTTCGAATTCTGCAAACAGGCGTGTCCCATAAGTCCGACCACTGAGTGGGAGTTCCTTAGCTCACTGTATCACTCATCCTTGGTCCTCGCTCCCTTTCCTCTCAGCTGGTCGGCACCTGCAGCCGGAGCTTCCTAGCAACAGGCGCACTAGCTCGCACCGCGCATCAGCGAGGCAGCGTGCGCGGTACTTCCACTGTTCCACCTAACCCACCCGCACCGGTGCAGCACGCGGCCCCGCGCCAAGGTCAGAGGACAGCTCTGGCAGGCTACGACGGCGAGGGGAAGGCGACCAGATCTCGCGAGAGCCAGGCCACTCTCAACTCGTACGAGGGGTGAGGGGGCGGAGCGCTGCGCTCGGGCACTTCCGCAAAGATGGCGGCGGCTGCGCGGACCAGCGCCCGGCTGGTGGTGTGGAGCAAACGACTGCGGCGCGGGCTGGAGGCCAGCCGACGGGCTGTGCACAGCTCGGGCTCCTTGGCAGCTGCGGTGACCGGCGTGGCACTGGCAGGGGCAGGAGCGGCCTGGCACCACGGCCGCGGGAATGTCGCGGCGCGCGGAGGCAGCCTCGCTGCCTCCACACAGGTACAGGACCTGCCCTTTCGGCGAGACAGCCCGGGCTCCGCCTCCTCAGACGCTGCTGGCTGGAGGGGCGTGGAGCCAGGCCCCCCTGGACCTGGGAGAGTGGGTCAGGCGCCTTCTGGGCAGTCCTTCTGGGGCCAGGCTGGGACCCGGACTCGCCGCTCGTGGGAGAGTCCGGCAGAGGCCAGAGCCCGCGAGCCGCAGACCCACCCGCGAGTGTGGTCGTGGGCAGAGTGGGCGTGTTGTCTGAGTGCAGGGCTTTCGGTTCGCTAGTTCTACACTGACAGCCTGATCGGTGGTGAGGCGTGTCCCTTATTCACCTGGATATCCCTTCACCTTTATAACTGAAAGTTGTACTTCACATTCTGTACGCCACGGTGGAACGAACTGTCCTGGTAACTTTTCAGTGTTGGAAGCATCGACCATAGAAACCGCTTGATCGTTACTAGATCTAAGTAGCAGTTCTGAGGAATGTTATTACAAGATTTGCACTTTAATAGTGGACCCTCAGTGCTGATGGTCCTAAAACCACTGTTAAATGTAAAAGTCAAATTTCCCACGGAAGTAATACTGCTGTGTAAAACTTCTGAAACTTTCAAGGAGTACTACATAAATATTGTAAAGACATTTTAGTGTGTGTGAGTTTTTTGGAAATTAAGCTTTTTTTAACTTGTTGGCTTATGTTAGGTCTTTCTAGTGCAAAACTTAAGGAACATACAAATACAACAAAAAGCAAAGCAAAACTAGTAATTGAAATTAAGCATCATCGAATGATATTTTTTGTTTGTATGAAAGTGATACATAGATAATACGTGCAATGTTACCCCACCCCATCATTTTTGATTGCATGCCGGAAGGATATTTTAGTGTTTCATAGCATAGTTAATATTGTGTCAGGCTGTTCATTTTGTTGCTGTTCATGATTAGTTTCTCTACTCCCATTCTCAATATCCCTTAATTTATTCTATGTAGGACACTTTGGTTAATTTTTCTCACACTGTTTTTTTAACCACATAAGTGTACCCCTTTTAGAAATCATCAGTGCCTTATTCTGACTAAAATAAAATGACTTCTTTTTCTGGTACTGGCAACAACTCCAGCTGTACACACGCTAGGCAAATGCTGTACTACTGGAGCTACATTCCCAACTAGTCCTCCATTTTCCAGCTTTGTGATTCAGAGCCCCTGTTCACAGTCTGACGTGTCTATCAATACTCAACTATCTCCCCACAAAAGGGACTCACTGATTTAACTTTATCCGTTTCATTGTTTTGTTCCAGCTTGCTGACTTGAGGGTAAAAACTTTATACTCATATTTAAGGTTTTTTCCTAAACTGTCAGTCTCCTTCCCCTACAACTTTGTAACTTTAAACATTTGTAACTTTGTAGTAGATATCCATTCCCATTACCAATTGTTGTGGAGTTCTTTGACACATTTGCTTGATCTGTTGTTGGACCCATTAATGGTTGTCATTCTTGTACTACCACAGTGGACTTCTCTAAACAACAGTAGCTGAATAATAGTGTATTTAGTATAGCTATAGCTTGAAAACTAGAAGTGAATTTGATGATGATGAGTGCATTTCCCTAGAATGGGTGCCTGTTAATCCTCCATGGGATGTGTGCATAGGGGAGAATTTCTGAGATAGGTACTAGAATTTTGGTTTGTGATTAATAATCTCATCACAATTCAAATTATTTTATGCATTCATATGGTGATAGTTAATTTGGTATCACTTATGTATCTATAATTATAATGAAAATGTCTTTTCCATCATGTTAAGTGCACTTTCCATTACAAATGGTGAATTTGTGTTAGTGAAGTTTTGGACTTTCCTGGTTGTCAGTGTAATCAACAGCTTGGCTTTGTGGGGGTCAATCAGGAATTGAGGACAGACTTTCCCATCCTGAAACAAGCACAAAAGTCAGAATTTCCCGTCTTTTCCTTTCTTCCTTCCACAATCATTGGAATCTTACTTTCTCCCAGGCTGTGTGCAGGGATTAAGGGTTGCAGACAGTTTCTGTGCTTCTGCCACAGACAAGAACAGTCGGAAGCAGTGTGCTAGGCACTGTGCTCAGTGTGAGGGCTGGGTGCCTTAGGGATGTGCTGGAGCAGCACCTCACACTGTCTTAGTTTCCTGAAGAAAGAGCAGGAAGTGGTCACCTGAAGGGTGATACAGCATTTGCTGGACAAAAAGTGTTGCAGTAAAGTATTATCTTTTCAGAGGTCTGAAAGAGTTTGACTCTGCAGAATGTGAGCTGCAAAAATGAGTGTGAAAGGTGACTGGTAGTCAGCTCACGAAGTCACCTTACGCCAGGTGACAGTTTTCATCCTGAGGACAGTGGAGAGCATTTGCAGGAGGGGGACCTCCTGGACCCCCTCCTGTCCTTCACTCCAGGCATAAAATACAAAGGGTCTGTGAACTTAGAAGAAGATTACATTTTGTTTCCATTGGCCTGTAATTTAAATTTTTCTTCAGTTATGAATGTAAGTGCAAAGCTACTATGGTATTATAGTAACTGATTTTGTCATTAATAGAAATGTCAGATAGTTTAGGTATCTGAAAGCATCACATCTTCAAAACTACTTATTTAACATGCCACCATATCATGTTATATAATGTATTAAAAAGTATATATTAATATATTACAGATTTTATTCTGACCTTTGGAAAAGGAATATCAAAACTTCAAGATAAAAAGATGAATTGATGGCTTGGGGATTTAGTTCAGTGGCACAGTACCTGCCTGGCAAGCACATGGTCCTGAGTTCAATTCCTAGTACAAAAAAAGTGAATTGAAAACTGGAGTTACAGAGCTTTTGGAATAATTCAGGAAAGCCGAGATCAAAATCAGTGAAAAGATAAATTTGTGAGGTGTCTGAGTTGTAATTGTGTTGTTCCAGTAATATGTAATGATAATAACTGGGCAACAAAATGTTGCCTCCCAAGAAATGTAGTGGAATTCTCTTTAAAACTCAACAACATGTTGATTATGTCTATGTAATGGAAACACATGGAAACACATGGAAATATTTAAAAACGGTTTAGTTTTACTCCCATTACAGTATGATATTTCAGACATAGTCACATCAAGTCAGAAATGATAGAAGGGAGGAGATAAAGAAGATAACTTCATTTTCGGTAAACCTTAGTATATTGAGAAATGCTATAAAAAATTATTTCAGTGGAGGAAGGAGTCTAGAACTAGAAAGTTACAACAGCTATACAAGGCTATTGAGCTTTTGTTGTTACAAACTATAAATAATATATTGGCAGACCAAATCTGATTAAAACAAACAAACCTCCAAATTATTAAGTAAATCCTCTACAACCTGCATCAAACTAAAAGTGATGCTTCCCTGAACCTTAGTATTGTATATTAATCATGTAGTAATAGGATCCAAACTTGGGAAAAGTAGACAAAAACAAAGTAAAGCCAAGGTAAAATGGATTATAATTATAGTTGACAACTGCAATCTTTTGTTCTTAACTCACTTGTTAATTTCACAGATACTTCACATGGTCCCCTTTTCTTGCATTTCTGTCCTTAATTTTTTTCATATGTAATTTCAGATGTCGTAAGTTTCTATGACTTCCTGACAGGTTTTGTTTGCTTTTCAATGGAAAATTTGTCCATTGCTGTTTTTTTTTAACTTTTTTTTTTTTTTTTTTAAATCGGTACCAGGGATCGAACTTACAACTGCCTGCTTGCAAGGCAGGTGCTTATGCTGCTGAGTTAAATCCCCAGCCCACTGTCCATTGCTGTTTAAAAAGCAAAGTTATTTTGTATTACTTGCTTTATAATGTTGTGATTTTTTTGTAAATAAATCAAAATTCTATATTATATTAGTTCATTAGTATTCAGTTCTGTCTGATAATTCATTTACGTTTGCATTTATAAATGCTTAAAAATTTTTTGCAAAAATTTAGTAGGGTTTCTGTTTTTCTTTCATAGCTCTTGGTACTCTTTGGAATTATTTTACCTACATGTTTGTCTTCCTTCTCTAACGACTGGTCCTGTGGTTGGGTGGTTGGTTTGGTTTTGGTTTTTTGAGAAAGGATCCCTGTAGTTCAGGCTCTCCTCACTGACTGTATAGCTCAGGTCGGCCTCAGACTCATCTGCCATCCACAGTGCTAAGATTGTAGGATTGACCTCTCTGTAATTTTGGTGCCTAGAATAATTGCTGTCACACAATTTCACTTAATAAATGTGAATAAATAATAATGAATGAATGAAATGAACTGCATTATTTAACAAAGTGAACTTGCCTATCTTTGATTCAATAGGCATTTAGAGAAATATTAGGTAGCTAGCATACAGCTGTGATTAGAATCAGCTAAGTTACTAATTGTCCTAGATATTTTGAACTTAGAACCATAGAGACATGTCTCATTTCCAGTAGAAAGCCTATGTGCTTAAGAGACCATGCCCTTGTCTGCTGATCCTTTATGCCTACTATGTCTGGTATGTAACAGGTACAGAAAATATTTATTGAATGGATAAGTTGGTGAAATCTTAATTTTAATAATGGCTACACTATTGTTTCGGAAGTTTAAAGAACAATGACATTCACCTGTTGCTCAATATGATATTGAACATTTGATTAACATTACCAGTTTTGTGACTTTACCCCCACCTCTGGTATAGGGGATTGAACCCAGGGCCTTCACACTGAGTTACAAACCCAGCCTTTTCTGTTTTGAGTCAGGGTCTCGCCAGGTTGCCCAGGCTGGGCTCAGAGTTACCTACTGATGCCACTGCTCCTCGGAGCAGTTCACAAGCCTCTGCCAGATAGGATGTTTATGCATGGCAGCTGAAGGACCCCTCTGGAGCTGCCATGGAAGCTGCTTACTAGAGCTGTTTGGAAGCCCCCGCCCCTGTGGAAAGAGTGTTGTCCTGAAGGTGCAATCAGAGCCACCATTTACCAACTGGAAATCACAGGAAGTGGGTCTGGCGTGTCTGGGGGGTTCTTTGGGCTTCAGCTCATTGGTTTTTTGCAG